ATTAAACAATTTGATTTTAATCGATAATTAAATTTTTTTTTTAACTATTAATACAAAAAAAAAATTAAAATATAAATAATCACATTTATAAGAAAATAATATATGCTCATATAAAAATATAATAAAGAAAATATAAACATAAATCATTTGGTGTAAATTTTAAATTTTAAATTATTAAAAAAATTTGAATTAGATAATTAATTTTGATAGAAAAAGTAAAAAAGAGTAAAAAATAATATAAAAAATTCAAAAAATAGAAGAAAAAATAAATATAAAATATAAATTGTATATAGAGTGTTGAATATAGAACGATTAACTGCACCTGCCAATCGTGACTAGAATATAAAAAATACAATTCTTTAGAATATACAAGATATATTTTTTCAGTCAAGTAAATAATAGACAAATTTAATAATTGAATATATAAAGAATATATTTTGCAATTTTTCTTAATTTTCTACCTCACCCAACAATAAAATATGATTATAATTTTTATTTTTATTTATTTATTTTTAAAGATACATAAATAAAGGTACGCATAATGTAAATAGACGTATATAAGTAAAATACTTAAGTAGAGTGGAAGATAATATAGCTAGAGTAGGACAATTATAAGTATATAAAATAATATTAAGAGCATTTGGATATACTTTAGGAGTACATCAAATTTATACTATGCAAATGAAAGGAAAAATATGAAATAGGTACTAATATTAAACTAAATAGGTAGACGAGCGAGTGCAAATCAATTTCTTTATAACAGAGACTAAATTATAACTCAATATGACTGACCGGGTGGACGGACCAACTTTCCCATAATTTTATTAAAGTAATAACGTATCATTGTTTTAAATAGCAAACATTATATAGACAAAAAACACATATCTAACACCATAATAGTACACACGCAACAATATTATATAATCTTTTCAGAGGATAATATAAATAGAACAACAACACAATATGTGCATAAAATCATACACCATGCACTAAAAAAAATAAGAAATATATTATATATATATATATTAAAATAAATAAATAAATAAATCCTGAAAACTCTAAAACTAATTTTTTTGTCGTACTGCAATTTTTCAATATATCAGTAAAAATTAATAATTGTTACATTTCTATATTTTTTTAAATAATTTTGTTAAGATAATAAAAATATCATACTTCATGTAGAAATAGATAAATAGCACATATATAAATAAATAAATATAATGAAATAAAAGCACAAACATACACATGAAACAACAATACAATATGTCTAGAAAATCACATACCTCGCAACCGAAAAATACAAAAAATATATTCCCTCCGTCGCATTTATCGTATCCACCTTTCCATTTCTTTCCGTCCCACTTATTCTGTCACTTTCATTTTTTTGGAAAAGTATTATACACTTTAATATTATTTTAAAAATTTTAATTTAATTTTTTTAATTTTAATTATACTAATTAGTTATGTTAATCTTAATTTAAAATTATTTTTACTAATACACTCTTAATTATTTACTAATTATATTTCTCATAAATTCTCGTTTCTACGGTAAAAAGAACATTATATATGAAACGGAGAGAGTATAATAATAATAAAAGAAGATAAACCCAAAGAATAATATGTTGCCGTATTGCAAGTTTTTAATTTATAAGTAAAAGTTAATCATTATTACATATTTATATTTTTTAATTATTTTGTTAAGATAATAAAAATACCATACTTTATACATAAATAGATAAATAATACACATAATCAATAAATAAATAACACATATAATGAAATAAAACTTTAATATCTTTTTATAATTTTTATAATTATTTTTTATTTACTTTTTTATAATTTCATTAAACTAATAACATATCACTATTTTAAAATTGAAAATATAAAAACAAAAAATCACATATATATATATATAACAAAAAAATAGCACACAAACAACAATATACTATATCAATATATAAATAAAAAAACAATATTACTACAGTAAGTGATGTCCTAGCGGTGTGGGGATGGATTTGTGGCAGTGAAGTCATGGATTTGAATGACGGAGATTCCATAAAATTTTTAAAGTAAAAGGGGATTGTTTGGAAAATACAAAGGAGTTATGAGCAATTTAACCTAATAAAAAATTAAATAATCTATGAAAATTCTAAAACCAATCTTTTGATCGTACTGCAATTTTTCAGTGTGCCGATAAATATTAATAATTATTACATTTTTATATTTTTAAATAATTTTGTTAAGATAATAAAAATATAATACTTCATATATAAAGAGATAAACAACACACATAATAAATAAATAAATCAAACATATAATGTGTAATGAAATAAAGATGGAATAAACTTGATTTTATTAAAGAAAAATTAACGAAAATACAAAATAAAGTTTGAACTATGATTTGTTTTAGGTTCAGCCCCCAAATCACCCACCAAAACACAAAATCGACACAAACACACATACAACGCGACATAGACAACCAAACCGGCCCAAGACCCTCAACCTAGATTGAAAACAACCCTTACAAGTAAGGAAAAGCAAAGCAACGGTAGAATAACGGCCAAAAAGAAAGGAACCACACAAAATGAAGGTTAAACTCGATGTCAAACCCCTTGCAATTCGAATCGAGACAGGGGAAACTGAAAGTACCTCTAATCTCCACATAAAATAGGAGAAAGAAGCTCATCGGATGCTCATCAGAGGTCGCCAGAGAAGAATATGTAATTTCCATGAGAGAAAAGTGTGTACATGATATATGCGATATTAGACAAATATTTTGCTATATTTTAGACAGTTTTTGGATGCAAATTTTGTATATATGCTCCTAATGATGTGTTTTTGAACTTTCTACTTGGCATTGAGGAGTTGACAAATTTTGGGCATATCGGAGAAAAAAGTAGAACGCAAGAAGTCCTTAAGTGTGATCACGAAGTAGAAAAAAATGAAAATTGCAAAAAGGTCCTCCGGGGTTAATTTACAATTTTAAAATTGTTTGGTTTAAAGTGCAAAGGGGATCTTGGGATAGACTTAAAGAGACACAATTTTTTCAATTGAAGAGGAGAAGAGAAGGGGACTACCACGTTCTCTACCACGATCTCACCTGCAACCTATTTCTGAAAGAGAAGAGAAGGAAGGAAGAAAACTACGTACGGTAACTTTGGAGAGCAAGGCAGAAGAACTTCCGGGCACCCTTTTTCTTCATTTCTAGAATTGGTTTGTTGTCGATTTTTTAACTTGAAGGCATGATGAACTCTTTGATTTATTTTATATTTTTAATTGCTATGGATTGCGAGTAGTTTCATTTCTAGTGTAGGTATGAATTGATTTTCGGGATTGAAATTGTGAGACTTGGTTTCGATTAAAATAGGTGTTCATCGATGTTGGGTATTTTTAATTCTTCTAATTGATGAGTTTAGAAATCTTGAATTGATTATTGCGCACGTATCAATTTAGGATTTCATAGCTATATTGGGGATTGGCATACGTAATTGTGTAATTTTCCAATTGGCGTAGCAATCTAGAGAAGAACACTCTAGGGAAGAATTAAGATCAATTTTAGACAAATCTTCGTAGGATCTTGTTAAATTGAATTGGGCCTTTCTAGTTTTTACTGTTGTCGAGTTAGAAAACTACGGTCGTACCTAGGATTCTTTCCCAATTAGAGAAATAGCTAACGGTCGTACCTTAGCTATCGAAAAAGTAAGGAAAGGTTGGTTGTGAACACGTGTAGATCAACTTTAACCAATTTATCCAACTAGTCGATGAATTTGACTTTTAGTCGATGATCAAATTTCATATCCCGAATGAAAAATTCATGCCTATGCTAGAGTCTAATCATCTTTTGTAATCTGCCGTGCATTTTATTTTATTTTATTTTATTTAGTTGAGCGAATTTATTTTCTCTTATTTTAGTGTGATAAATTCAACCCCCCCCCCCCCCGTTATATGTATAGTATAATTTTAGATAACCGAATATTCAATGTTATTATTGTTCCTTGCGGAGACGACCCTACTCACCGAACTACTGCATTTTGCAAGTTTTTTGTGGTGTAGGAGCAGATACTTTATTTTGCAGCTTTGACGAGGCTAGCAATTTTGGCGCCGTTGCCGGGGAATACTAATTTGATTTTTGATATTTGGTTGTTTCTTTTATTTATTTAGCTCTAATTTTTGCTTAATGGTTTATGCCTCGAACTAGTCGTACAGTTCAATTAATCTTTGATTCAGAGATTGAAAGAACTGCACGTCGTTTGCGGAAAGAAACTAAAGAGCGAAAGAGGGCCGAGAAAGAAGTTGAGTCACCGGGACTTAACTTAGCTATCCAACTAGCGGATACCTCTAGTTCTGACGAGGGTGAAGAGCACAAGGAAGTTGAAGAAGTTTTGATAAATCCAATAGCACAAAGAACCTTGAGGGAGCTAGCTGCTCCCGACTTAATTCAGCACCCTTTGTGTATTACTTTTCCTGCTATAGCCGATAATACAGCATTTGAACTTAAATCTGGACTAATTCATTTATTGCCGTCTTTTCATGGCTTGGCAGGGGAGGAACCACACAAGCACTTGCAGGAATTCGATGTGGTATGTACGAGTATGAAACCTCCGGGAGTCACTGAGGATCAAATAAAGCTCCAGGCTTTTCCATTCTCTTTGAAGGATGCAGCTAAAGATTGGTTGTTTAACTTGCCGGCTGGGAGTGTTATCACATGGATGGATATGAAGCGCAAATTTCTTGAGAAGTTCTTTTCCGCATCCCGGGCTGCGAATTTGCGAAAAGAGATTTGTGGCATCAAACAAGCATCAAGGGAGTCCTTATACGAGTATTGGGATAGATTCAATAAATTAATTGCTCGATGTCCCCAACATCAAATTTCTGAGCAACTTTTAATCCAATATTTCTATGAAGGACTAACTTCTATTGACAGGAGGATCATCGATGCTGCCAGTGGAGGCGCTTTAATGAATAAGACTCTGAGAGAAGCTTAGGAATTGTTGAATGATATGGCCATGAACTCTCAACAATTTGGGCCGAGGGATGTCATGGGAGTGAAAGAAGCTGTTGAGGTAAGTTCTCCTATGCAACAACAATTAAATGAGCTAACTGCTTTTGTGAGGAAACTTGCTGTAGGTAATGCTCAAGTGAAGCCGTGTGGAATTTGTGCGAGTGTTGAGCATCCCACGGATGCTTGTCCCACACTAAGAGAAGAGGTGGACGTGAGTGCTATAGGTTTTGCACCGAGAAACGCTTATGACCCTTATTCGAACACATTCAACCCGGGATGGCGAGATCACCCCAACTTTAGTTATGGGAATCAACAATCCTATGGTCAGCAGCAACCGCCAGGTTTCCAGTCATATGGACAACAGCAACCACAAAGGACCATGCCCCAAGCCTCCATGCCTGGTAACTCTTTATATGATATGATGAAATCAATTGCGTCAAATTTTTTGCAATTTCAGCAAGAGACAAGAACGAGTATTAAAAATTTGGAAGATCAAATGTCTCAAGTTGTGAAGGAGGTGCGGGATATGAAAGAGAGGGAGAAAGGCAAGCTACCGGCTCAAACCCACATGAACCCGAGCAATGTTAGTTCAATGGTCTTGCGAAGTGGTAAGGAGCTGAAGGGTTCGAAGGTGATTACTGAAAAAGAGAAAGCTGGAGAGGAGATTGAGCAAGAAGCGAACAAGTCAACTGATCAGGTGAATTCTAAACCTCTTATTCAATCAAATGCTAATGTTGCTCCATTTCCTCACAGGTTAGCAAAACCGGGTAAAAACGATAAAGACAAGGAGATAATGGAGATGTTTAAGAAAGTGGAGCTAAGCATTCCTTTGCTTGACGCAATTAAGCAAGTCCCCCGTTATGCGAAATTTCTGAAAGAGTTGTGTACCAAGAAGAACAAGTTGAGAGGAGACGAGAAGGTGCTAGCTTGAGAGACTGTGTCCGCCGTACTGCAAAGAAAATTGCCACAAAAATGCGGAGATCCAGGTATGTTTGTCGTCCTGTGCAAAATAGGTAAGATGGAAATTAAAAGAGCTATGTTAGATTTAGGTGCAGCCATTAACGTTATGCCTAAGTCTACTTTTAACTCTTTGAACATTGGGCCCTTGAAAGAAACAGGGATAGTGATTCAACTAGCTGATAGAACTTACGCTTACCCCGAAGGGATAATTGAGGATGTTCTTGTGCAAGTGAATGAGTTAATATTCCCTGTTGATTTCTATGTTTTAGATATGCATGATGAAAATTCGCCTAATCCTTCACCTATTCTGCTTGGACGCCCTTTTATGTGTACTGCACACACAAAAATTGATGTTAGGACAGGGACACTTACCATGGAATTCGAAGGTGTAAAAGTTCATATCAATATTTTTGATGAATCGAATGATCCCGTGGAACCTCATGCTTTGTATTGTGTAGATATCCTTGATCAAAATGTGCAGGAAGTCTTTGAAGTTGGAGAAAGAAGGAAATTGCAGTTGCAAGAGTTGAAGGAGATTCAGAACAAAGCTTTCGAGAATGCGAGAATTATTAAAGAAAATAGTGAAAAATTTCATGATCCAAATATTTTGAGAAAAGATTTTAAGGTTGGTCAAAAAGTTTTGCTTCATCATTCTCATCTTAAGATTTTTCTGGGTAAACTTCGTTATCATTGGATAGGTCCATTTGTGGTAACTAATGTGTTTCCGTGTGGTACAGTTGAGATTCAAAGTTTTAGCACGGATAAAAGGTTTGTTGTGAATAAGCATCGTCTTAAGTCTTACTATGAGGGGTTCCAGAGCAAGGAAGTGGATTGCGTAGCTCTTTTTGACCCACGTAATTAGTTTGAAAGACGTTGTGTCGAGCCAAAGACAATAAACAAAGACGCTTCTTGGGAGGCAACCCAAATGTTTTAATTTTATTTTGTGTGTTTTTAGTTTTGCTGTGTTTCGGAGTTAATTTCATGCCTTGTTTTTGGTGTTTTGATGACAGGTGAAATTTTTGTGGTTGAGTGGAGTAGAATGGGAATGATTCTTAGGCGTGGCCACGCATCCAATGTGTTGTGATTGATGAGAGGGAGAAATTTTTAAAGAAATCAGAACGTACAACTTCTTTAGGCGTGATCACGTCTAATGAAGTCTTATATTCTGAAAAATTGTGCAAAGAGGGTTTATTTTGAAGAATTATTATATATATATATTATATTTATTATTGTTATTATTAAATTTAATATTACTATATTTATTTTTTTTCTATAATAAATATTATAATAGTTATTAATTTTTTATTTTATTTTTATATATATACTCGTTATATTTTTATAAATATTTATTATGATTATTATTATTATTATTTTAATTTTATTTATTTATTTATATATATATTTTGTTTCTATATTTATTATTATTATAGTTACTATATTTATTCTTATTATTATATTTATTACTACGTCTATAATTATATTTATTATGATATTTATTACTATAATTATTATATTTATTATTGTTTCTATAATTATAATTATTATTATAGTAATTAAATTTTAATTTTTTAATTTTTATATTTATTATATTTATTACAATTACGTTAGAATTATTATTACTATATTTATTATTCTTGCTATAATAATTATTATATTTATTATTATTATTATTATTATTATTATTATTATTATTATTATTATTACACCCTTTAAACCCTAAATTCTTTTTCTCTCTCCCTCACTCTCTCACAGGAGCCGCCGCCTCCCTCATTTCTCCGCCGGTTTGAACCGTTCACCATTCCGCCGTCCCTCCGCAACGTCATCCATCAGTTGCCGCTGTTTTTCAGCCGGTCTGCACCACCAGTCAGCGCCGCCCTTTTCGTTGCTTCGATTTTCTCCAGTTTGCCGGTTTGATTTCAGGGAGTTCTCCTACTTTTTAATCTATTGCATTCTCTTGGTTAACCTCTATCGATTATTGCCTTTATATTATATAAAATAAGTTGATGATGAAAAATTTTAATTTGGGCGATTTTCGTAGAGATTCTTTGATACAATCAATAAATGGATGCATATAGATGATTGAGAATAATGTTGTGATGGGCAAAGTGCGAGTGTCGAAAATTTGGCCGGCAAAATGGCCCGTCAAGGACAGTTAGACTCCATTGAAAAGCTTTTGCGTGCCCGTCGCCGGTCCTAAGCGGGCCGGTCGCCCCCACCTATTCCAGGGAAGTTTCTTTTCTCCTTTCTTTTATTTCATCTTTGTTCTTGCAATAGGGACATTGTATGATTTCAGTGTGGGGGGAGATTAGAACTTTTGATACTCTATAATGCTTTATTTTGAGTTGTTCCCTGCATGTCCTCTTGTGTATGTCGAGCTGAGATTGTTGTGCTTTACTTAGTTCATTAGGATCTTGCCATGTTTGTTGATGAAGTTAGATGACGAGTGTGCTTAGCCTTCTAACAAATAACCCTTAAGTGAGTTATTTGAGCCTTATTTGAGCAAATTCACTCATACATATCATATATGCTCATTTTTTTTGGATTGTGTGAACATATGTTGTATTTGACTACCTAGAACTTGCTTGCTTATGCTTATTGACTCCGCGTTTATTGAGAATTGATGGGATTAAAATGATAAGGCACTAGGTTTACCCTTGTTGGCCTTAATTTTATACCTTCACCCCTATTATCCCCTAGTGAACCAAAGTTTGAGTTTAATGTTATTATCCTATTTTTCTTGGTTCATATTTAGCCCGAGCCGATATGCCTTTTTCTTGGAATAAGCCGAACGTTTACTTGAGCCCTTGGGAATTCGAGGGATTGTTCTTTGATTCATTACATTAGATTATTTAGAGTTGCATATCATCAGTATATTATTCGATAGTTGCATTTGAAAGTTCTCATATATGTGGCACAATTATAAATTCATATATATTTTTGCCAAAAGTATTTCATTGACCAACCTCCTATATAAAAAAAAACACTAAAAAAAAAGGAGGTTGTGTGTAAAAAAAAAGAAGAGAGAAAAAAATATTCTGAGTCCTAAAAATAAATAATAAAAAAAAAGAGGGACTCGTGAAAAGAAAAGTGAGTATGATGTTGTCTTTCATTGATCAAATCTTGGGAAGTATTGTGTTGTTCTTGTTTTGTTGTTCTTATTCATACGTGTGTGCGACTTGCGATCATTTTGATGTGATGAATTGATAGATTAATTCCTCGGTCCCATTAGCCACTAATATCCCTTTTCCTACCCGAACCAAAGCCCCATTACAACCCTTTTATTAAGACCTTTGATTATGAACATTGATTTCTTGATGAATTGTGGAATTGATTTGATTTGCTTGCAAGCCTATGGGGTTTGTCGTTTACTTCATGTGCATTGAGTGAATATAGGCTAAACACTTGAGGGTGAGAGCTTTTACTTATATACATTCCACATTTGGTGAGGTTTGGTTCTTGTATGCTTTGAATCCGACGTAGTTGGCGTCATGGCTAAGTGACTTTTGCGCTAGTGAGTATTTCAATTCTTGGTTTGGATATATGCTTGAGGACAAGCATGGGATAGGTGTGGGGGAGTTGATATATGCGATATTAGACAAATATTTTGCTATATTTTAGACGATTTTTGGATGCGAATTTTGTATATATGCTCCTAATGGTGTGTTTTTGAACTTTCTACTAGGCGTTGAGGAGTTGGCAAATTTTGGGCATATTGGAGAGAAAAGCAGAACATAAAGAGTCCTTAAGCGTGATCACGAAGCAGAAAAAAATGAAAATTGCAAAAAGGTCCTCCGGGGTTAATTAACAATTTTAGAGTTGTTTGGTTTAAAGTGCAAAGGGGATCTTGGGATAGACTTAAAGAGACACGATTTTTTCAATTGAAGAGGAGAAGAGAAGGGGACTACCACGTTCTCTACCACGATCTCACCTGCAACCTATTTCTGAAAGAGAAGAGAAGGAAGGAAGAACACTACGTACGGGAACTTTGGAGAGCAACGCAGAAGAACTTCCGGGCACCCTTTTTCTTCATTTCTAGAATTGGTTTGTTGTCGATTTTTAAACTTGAAGGCATGATGAACTCTTTGATTTATTTTATATTTTTAATTGCTATGGATTGCGAGTAGTTTCATTTCTAGTGTAGGTATGAATTGATTTTCGGGATTGAAATTGTGAGACTTGGTTTCGATTAAAATTGGTGTTCATCGATGTTGGGTATTTTTAATTCTTCTAATTGATGAGTTTAGAAATCTTGAATTGATTATTGCGCACGTATCAATTTAGGATTTCATAGCTATATTGGGGATTGGCAGACGTAATTGTGTAATTTTTCAATTGGCGTAGCAACCTAGAGAAGAACACTCTAGGGAAGAATTAAGATCAATTTTAGACAAATCGTCGTAAGAGCTTGTTAAATTGAATTGGGCCTTTCTAGTTTTTACTGATGTCGAGTTAGAAAACTACGTTCGTACCTAGGATTCTTTCCCAATTAGAGAAATAGCTAACTGTCGTACCTTAGCTATCGAAAAAGTAATGAAAGGTTGGTTAAGGAAAGGTTGGTTGTGAACGCGTGTAGATCAACTTTAACCAATTTATCCAACTAGTCGATGAATTTGACTTTTAGTCAATGATCAAATTTCATATCCCGAATGAAAAATTCATGCCTATGCTAGAGTCTAATCATCTTTGGTAATCTGCCGTGCATTTTATTTTATTTTATTTAGTTGAGCGAATTTCTTTTCTCTTATTTTAGTGTGATAAATTCAACCCCCCTATTATATATATAGTATAATTTTAGATAACCGAATATTCAATATTATTATTGTTCCCTGCGGAGACGACTACTCACCGAACTACTGCATTTTGCAAGTTTTTTGTGGTGTAGGAACTGATACTTTATTTTGCAGCTTTGACGAGGCTAGCAGTAGAGAGAGTCGAGAGAGTTTAGAGAGAGAGAGTGAGGGTGTTATTGTT